TTGAAACCATATACAGTACAGGGTTTGTTTTTACTTTGTATAGTCAAAAGAGAGAATTTAAATACTGAATTTCTTTTTTAATCCTCAAAGAGTACACAATGCTGAACACACTTAAAATGCATAGTTAACTAGGCAAACAAACCCAAACAAAACACAATAAATTTAAACTTTGATAAAGATAATTTAGGGAAATCAAAAGGCGGGATTACCTAGACCAGACAATTCTGTCAATGTGTTCTTGCAAACCTTGATCCTTCTCATTAATTCAAATTGCACTATTTCATACTATGTAAGACAGTAGCTAATAAACCTTCTTTTTTAGAGTACTTTAAATTGTTTTTTAACTATTTTGGTTTGTTTTATAAAACAAAATGAGATTAAGAAATTATAGACTACTGTGGAACTAGTTAAAAAAAATACAGAAAGCAAAGAGTGAGATTCATTTTCCAGAAAATAAAAATGCAATATTGAAAACCCTTACTATATATATATATATATATATATAATTAGTATTTTTAATCAAACATCATAAAAGATGCAATGAAAACAACCCATGTTTATGGGTATGGGAAGTCAGCTTCTGCCAACTGAGCTTCATTAATTAACCCTTAAGGAACCAGCAGCACTCGGCCTCGATGTGTCTGCAGGCTGGCGGAACGGTGGAGAGGGACACGCAACAGATCCATCCGTCCCCTGTCTGCCCCTGGCAGGGCAAGTCAGAGCTGCTGTGTCCCACAGACAGGCCTGCCCAATCTGCCATAGTCCAGGCAAGCAGGCAGGCGCTCAGCAGGCCGTGCTCGCCAGGTAGTCACTCTGCAGCCTGCGGAGAGCGCAACCCGGCAGCAGCTCTGCAGCGCGGCTCCCCAGCGGCAAACCGCAGCAGCCAGGGCATGCCGGAGCTTCCTGCACAGCTGCCACCTGGCTCACAGGCAGTGTCCAGTGCAGATCAGATACTGGGGAATGAGGAGCTGGCTTTCCAAACCTGCTTCTCCTTTCTGCACACTCCTAGTTTTTCTTGTCCAGATAGAAAAGGTCAATGGAAAAATAAAAAAAAAAAAAATTTTTTCTAGAACAGGGATACTTCTGACATTTGAAGCTACAAATTTTATAGTAGTTCATTAGTGGTAACAGCGTTACCTAGTGGTCATGGAAAAATACTATCAAGAAAAATTTCACCATAATAATTTAAATTATTGACAAACATACCTTCATTTGTTGCATATGAAAAGAAAAGGATCCACAGGGGATATGGTGTAGCACTTCGGAGTCTTGCCATTATTGACAATGGTCAGGTTCAGTAGGGAAAATGTGCTGCAATTCTGCCAACAGGAAACATAATAAGCTGACATCCCTGTCTCAGTTAAGGTAAAGGTGTAGTTTTTCCTACCACTCTGCTAGATGTTAGAATTCAGACTCCCTGCTGTACCTGCTTCCCACCTTTGGCCCCTAAAATTAGCTCATGGAACATGATACGTAGAAGAATAAGGAGAACACAAATGAGCTAGAAGACTTTTCTGCAAAATTTTAATTACAGAGGATACAGAACTGTCATTGGCAGTGGAGCTACTCTCTTTAGCTACTAGAAAAGAGAGATTGCTAATATGCAAAGGGCAAAAAAGGGCAAGCACTAGACCAAAATCAGTGACATTGTCACCAAACCCCTGTGATTCCACTCAGATAAGTAAAAGAATTTAAGAATGAAGTGTTTAATCTAAAATGTTTTCTCCAAGTCCTATCACCAGTACCTTGATAATCTGAGTATCACCCCTTTAAAAAGAAATTCTAGCAAAGAACTCTGAACATTGCTCCAAAAGAATGCAGATTCATTAAAATACTAATTATTTGAAAGTTGTAAAACACATACCTAGTCATGATATAACCAGAACAACTTTGGAGAAGGAAAACAATGCAGCTTTTATGTGCCTAAGCATAGCAAAACTGTCTAGGTAAATTAAAAACAAATGAAATAATTAATTTCAGACTTAAAAATAGCAAGTGTCCCCAAGATTTTTTACCAATATAGTTACTTAATGTGCAAGACGAGGCTACTGGCTTTCATATCACTACAAATGGATATGATGCATTTAAAATCTGGTGAATTTGTAAGTGAAGTCATGCTCATATGCTTTTGGCTTTACTTTCAGTATAAAGAGGGATAAAATTTGTTCAGCAGCACATTGTTAAGACACAACCCTTTGGTTCCTTCCTCTCATGCTATTGGAATTTTCTAACTTTCATATCTGGACAATGTATTCTTGCTGCCTGTAAGTTTCAGCTACTCTGTTTATACCTGTAGGGTTCCCAGGTAGTACACTAGTTTTTATTTCAAGGAGAGGAAAGGAGACTCCTTCAGCAGGTGAACGGCGTTGGGTGTTCTGCATAAGATTGGTCAGATTATGAAGTAGAAAAGACCACTGAAAGGTATTTGTGGATGATGGTTCAATACTCTCTTCCCCAAACCAACAATGCAGCAGAATCACATTACATGTGTCTGACAGAGGTGAGTCAGTCTGTCTGAAAATATCCATCTTAGAAGTTAAGTGATAAGGACATTTATAGTAAAAATGCAGCAGACCCTGACGCGGGGAAGAAATGATGATGTCTGGCTCCAGATCAGAAGGCTGAAGGATAGCTTTATTAAAACTATACTGTATTACATTAATACACTATTTAAATAGATACTATACTACTCTACATATTTACTTTTTACTCACCTATTTAACTACAAACTTGTGACTCTGCTGAGAACCTGAGCCACAGCTGGATCCCATTGGTCACCGAACCCAAACAACTTTCACCAAAATCCAACCCAGCAATCACTGCAGGTAAACGATCTCCATACCATATTCCACATGGGCAAAACAAAGGAGCAGAGATAAAGATTATCTCTTCTTCTCTCTGTGTTTCTCCTGAGAGACAGAATTATGTCTCTCTGTCCAGAGAATGTGAATGTCACAGACATTGTTAGTCAAAATAGAAGACCAGAACGGCAACTCTTCTGTGACCTTTTCTGGGGCAGCTACTGCTCATCTAGTAATAAAGAACAAACTTGAAAGACGAATTTCTCATAAGAGCTTGAGAAAACTACTACTCAAGAGCTGAGTTTTTTTCATATTCTGAGAAGACATGAAATGTGGCTAAGCACAGTAATACATTTTTTTTAAAAGAACACAAGCACCTTTTCTGTTGCTCAGGAAAAAAGGGCCAACTGCTCTGGCATTAAAAAAAAAAAAAAATCCTTCATTTCCCTTTTTCCTGGAATTCTCAAGAGAGAAAGCATTTACTTTCCACTGTTAGGTAATACTGCCACATGACTGGCGTTCCAAGAAACTCTTGGAACACTTAGAATTTTGGCAAAGAATCCTGAACCATGTAAGCATGTCGAGCACATGGCAGACCAAAACCATCTTCTCATGGAAGAATGGATCTGCACATGTGGATAAAAATGGAATTAAGCCAGAACTTTAATAAAACTGCAAAAGGAGAAAATTTTTAAATACCCACAGCTCTTCTGCCTGCTACCTCTTTAAGTTTTTCATTATACTAGACAATGAAATACCAATCTTAAAAAAAAGTATTTAACACATATAGACAATACTAAAATTGCAGCCAACCTAGTAACTCTGACAAATTTGAGAAAAGTAAATTGTAAAGACACAAGTCACTTCCCCAAACTAGGAAAGAAATCTCTGTTGGGGTTAGAAGCAGATCTACATGGTTACTGGCACAAGCTACATGCTTTGATCACTTAACCTTTCTGTTTCTTGAAAAAAATACTATATTATTAGAATTATTTCATTCACTATCAAGAAAAACGGTAGTAACTTTTGGTCTGGTCTTCTAAGGAAATTAGGGTCACATTCCATTAATATCTATAATCTGCAAAATTGTTATGTGCAAAGAGTAACTCCTGCCCAAATCAAGAGGTCATATTAAACAAGAGTGCTTAATGCACCGTTGCTGCAAGTGTACAGCTGAAGCATCATTCCCTGTTTAAAACTGCCCCTTTTTAAAACTGATGCACAACTTGTCTTACTCTCTAGTTTAAAGCACTGACTGCAGACGCTAAATAAAATGAGACAAGCGGTACATAGCAAAGCAGAAGTTTCACCAACAGATTCTGCATCAAACCTTGAAAAGAAAACCGGCGCAGAGCATAATGCCTTCTGAGGAGAAACCGCTCCGTTCCGGGCGCTCAGCACGAACCGGCCCGAAGCTCTGCAGGGCTCACGGGGGCGCAGCCCAAGCCCCGGGCTGGGCCCGGCTGGGAGCGGCTCCGCTCGCCAACGCGGGCCCGGGACAGGCGCGGCTGCTGCGCCCACGGGCAGCACGTCCGGCAGGAACAGCACTTCGGAGAATTACACCTTTCTGCGTAAAACTCTGTAAAACTCGCGTTTAACAGCCGCAAGGAAAGAGAAGCGATTCTGGCCGCGGGTTCCAGCCGGAGCCGCCGCACAGGACGGGGCCAGGGACATACGGCCGGCAGCTCCGGAGGGAGCACAGACCTTCCGCCCTTCCCAGAACCGGCACGGAGGAAAACACAGACCACACAAACGCACGCCAAGCGCAAGTAACGAGAAGGAGCCGGTCCTGACACCAGGACGAAGGGGCCGCCAGACGTACCTTGTGTCTACCGGCCCCCCGCTGGGGTCCCCGGGCGCCGTGCTGCGCTGGGCGCGGCCCGCCGCCATCCGCCCCCACACACCGCCCGTACTTCCGTCCGGCGCGGCGTGGGGCGGGGCGGGGCGGGGCGGGGCGGGGCCGGGCCGGGCCGGCGCGGGGCGGGGCGGGGCGGGGCCGGCGCGGGACGGGGCCGGCGGGGGCGGGGCGGGGCCATGGCGGGGCGGGGCCGGCGCGGGGCGGGGCCGGCGGGGCCGGGGCGGGGCGGGGCCGGCGCGGCGCGGGGCCGGCGCGGGGCGGGGCCATGGCGGGGCGGGGCCGGCGCGGCGCGGGGCCGGCGCGGGGCGGGGCCGGCGGGGCCGGCGGGGCCGGGGCGGGGCGGGGCGCGCGCAGCCGTCGCTGAGCTGGCGGGCGCGGACAGGTGCTGGGGCCGCTGTGGAGGTGGTACTGCGGTGGGAGACCCGGGGAGCCCCGGAGAGCCCCGGTGGGTCCCGGTGGGGCTGAGGGCTAGCGGTAGCGGGCTAGTGGGCCAGCGGGCCGGGCGGCTTTCCGTGGTAGTGGGCTGCGGCTGGGCCGGGGCCACGCGGGCGGTGAAGCGGCGAGGCCAGAGCTCAGCCAGAATCGGGCAGTCGGCTGGTGCAGCGGTCACGGAATTTCCTGAGCTGCCTTTAAGTACTTCAGGCGTTCTTCGAAACCTGTAGAGGATTGTTTTCTGTGCAAAGTCACCCGTTTTGACTGACTGTGCTCAGATCAGGCTGTCTGGGGAGCAGGAGCTTTGTCTAAGGGTGAATGACCGACGGTGTTGTGTTTGTCACCCAGCGCTGTTCTTTTCAGGTTTGCAAATCCCTCTGGGGAGTGAGTGTAAGGTTACTGGGGCGTTGTAGCGGGGAGTGGGCCGCGGGCCGCTCTCCTGCTCCAGTTCCTGGCCAGTCAAAGCGGCCCAGTCCAGTTCGCTCAGCAACATGCTGAGCAGCTTCGATGAAAACCGCACCGCATAGAGAAGATCGAGGTCGAAGTTTAGAGGCTCAGTGACCACCGGGGTGCCTAAAGACCCTCCAAGAGCACTGTCTGAGACTATCTGTGCGGACTCAAGCAGCTTCTGTATGTATAACCTTGAGCCAATTATGCACGTTAAGCAGCAGTCATTCCCCTGTGTATCCAGTGCTGCAGTAAAGTATTCCTTGCTTGCTAATACTACATTGGTGTTAAGGAGGAGTTTTATTCTCGATTTTGGGTGACAACAACACAATGACTACGTTGTTTTTTCTGGAGCTAAAACTAGTTGGACTTCATCTCTTCCACCCTTCCAGAACCTCAGAGCTGGTCACCCTCTGCATTCTGAGGACAACCTTGGGATCTGCTTTTTTTGCCCTCATTCAATGTAATAGACTTCAATTGAAATCTTGTGTATACTTGGACTGTTGTGTTCTCAATTGGCATTAACATGTGCATTAATTCCAGCTTAAACCTCCTGCAGCACTTGAAGCCTGGTGAAACACTGTGATGGCAGCTCAGATGACCGATGCTCATCGACGGTTCTTGCAGGCTCTGATGTCTAATGGGATAACAGAAGGATCAGAGGCCAAAAAATTACACCAGCACTGTTGTGAAACTGACAAAGGTGTGTCTGTCTTAGTGATGAAAGAACTGGGATTTTACCCTGGTGCACCTTGAAAATAATTTGATTTCTGAAGGGCATGCACCAGCTAAAAAAAGTTTAAAAACTGTAAAGATATGAGTGTTCCCTCTCTTTCCTGAAAGATAATATAGCAACGAGCAAACTAACTTCTAATCAGGCCAGATTTGTATATAGTACTTCTTATTTTATCAAGGTTGTTGTTTATAGGTTATAAGATCTGCCTGATGTGTGTGTAGGTGTTTGACTTTTCTCTGTATGATTTTGTTCATTCATTTTCAGTTTACTATGCGCATGATAAACTGGACGATTTCATCAGCACTATTAACAGCCACCTGCAGCCTTTGTTTATGCAGATCCGGAAAGGAATATCGGAAGATGATGGGAGAGCACATTATGCTGTAGTAGGTACCTGCTGTGCTGTGTTCACATGGGGCTGGCAGTGGCTGCAGGAGCTGCTGGGAGGATAAACTGTCACAGCCCAGGTGTATGGGAATAGGACATGGCAGCAAGGATGACAGCAGTGTTGGAGTTACTTGGCATAAACATTGCTTAAGTGCTGAAGTGAGATTTCTTTTCCACAGGAGACTTTCTTTCCTGAGACAGATTTTTAAACTAGAAAACACAAAGAGCTGTCCCACATCAGTTTTGTTTTTCTCCTACTCAAAAAGCAACCTAGCATGAAAGGGTTACTGAGGAGTAGCCTGTAAGTTGTTTCCCCAGGTGATCTGCAATGTGCATGTCAGAGAAGGTTATCTAGTAATTTCAGAAGATCATACAGAAGGTATTCTAACATTAGCTGCTGCTTTTAACCTTTCCTTCTTCCACTAAGTTGAGCTAATAATTAATAATAGTAGCACATGCAATAAGAATAGAAAACATGGGCAAGTGGTTTTCACAGTGAAAAAAACAGTGACTGATAACAAAGTTCCTGCTGCTGTCTAGTACCAGACCTGTCTAACACCTGTAATGTGTCAGCTCTGCTGCAGCACTCTGCGTCAGTTCTGAGAGCTTGTGTTGTGGAATGGCTTTGCCTGGGCAAAGGAAGCTCTGGAGAATTTGTGGCTGGAAGATGAGGGATTGTAAAGAAAGAACTTGAATACTGTCAAGTACCCCACAAAGAACTAACATTTATGTTAATTGTAAGATGATGTATTCTTAACCTCAGGGAGTTTTTTACAGTTTCTGGTATGAAACTACATCAGCACTTTATATCAGTTTATTTTTTTTGTAGGTGAATTTGGCAGAAACTGAAGTAACTAAAATGGCATCTGACTATACAGAAAGTGAATTGGAATTGTTCAGAAAAACAGTAAGTATGTCAGTTATCACTTAGTAAACCATATTATTTGTGAAGCTCTCATCTAAAAATGAATGGAAATGGAGATGTGGTTGAAGAAGTAGTTGCCATTTTACCTAAGTTTATCTGAGATCAAATGGGTGGGGTGGGCAGAGTTGAAAGTATGTGTAAGTAATGATTTGCTGTTGTAAGTCAGTTATAGGTAAGGCAAAATCAGCACCATGGAAGGGCTCCCTGGGTTAGGGACAGGACATGCCTACTTTTAGTTATACAGGCAACTTTCTTCACGATTTTCAGTCATGACTGCTGAGTTTTTCACTGGCTTCAGTAGTTTAGTAATATACAGTAGTTTTTAATGCTAGTAACATACAAAATGAATTTGCTGATTTGCATTTAAACATTTGTCTATGGTTATTGAGGCTTTTCCTCAAAAGATCTTTGACAAAGAGCAGATAAAAAGAAATGGATCTGTCACCGCCAAGTGTGGCCAGTGTAGACAGTGTGTATATTTCTATTTGTGGAAACGTTTTCTTGGCAAAGATCAAAACTGTCAAGGGGATAATGATTGTTTCAGCTTTTGGCCTTTGTTTTCTGGTTCAAGCCATATACTGTAGTATCTCTCACATACCTGGATGCAAAAAAAAAAAGGCGTATCAGCACATTAAGGTGTGTCTGCCTAATTGGAGTGTTTCTAATACTTGGTAATGTTTCTTCCTGTAGATGGACCTAATAATTTTATCAGAAAATGGCTTTGCCTCATCTACAGATATTTTAAACTTGGCTGACCAACTTAAGACAAAGAAAATGAAGAAAAAGGAAGCAGAACAAGTGCTGAAAGTTTTTGTGGAGGATAAGTGGCTCTCTGAGGTAACTGCATTCAAGTGTCCATAGTTCCGTGGGTCCAGCTACCATGTTCTTACGGGTGTGGTAGCTGAGAGCTCTTCTTGCATGAATGATGGCAAAAATGGTCTTATGGCACTCATGCTTATTGCTGCTCCAATGATTTTTGCAGAAAAGGAAGTAGACTTCAATGGAAAAACTCCTTGGGTAGGTCTGTAAAGGACCATATGGTTTCAGTTTCTTGTACCTGAGTCAGGTGGGTTTGTGTGTCCAGTCCTGCCCAGTGATGCACAGACACAACAACACAGCATCCTTTGTACACAACAGCACAGCATCCTTCAACCTGGAACAAGAGCTGGGGAAAGCTCTTAAGAGTGATCAGTACTGTTAGTTGCATTTAGAATTTCCTGAAAAGGAGTAAGGCCAAACATGTTGAAAACTCCTGTACCAGAAATGCATGGGCCACTGTGCACATGGTTACACCTGTTTTATTTCATGAGGGAGCAGTGGAGATGAACTCACCATGTTGACTATGGTGGACTGACCATGTGGATACTGCAGTTGCTTGCTAAGTGAGACCTTAATCCCTTTTCTGCTGGAGTCATTGCATCATAGATTTTCAACCTGCTACCACACAGTTACTTACATGTTGAGTTGATTTGGCAGATATTTCCAAAGATATATCAAGCAGGAAATGCCTAGATTTTGTTGAAAGCTGGGAGAATTTCCTCTAACATGCCTTTTGGGTGGATCCCAAAACAGCATGTCTCTATTAAGGAGTGCATGCTTGCTCATCTATGCTTTCCAAGGACTAGATCTGTGTTAAAGGTGTGGGATTTTTATTCTCCTCCTCTAAACAAAGTTCTGCTATTTCAAAAGTGTTCTAGCATTGCATTGTACCAGCATGTTGGTTTCATTACGGTAGAAGAAAGTGGCTTGTTAACAGGCAGTTAGCAAAGTCAAAAAAGGTAAAAGAAATTAAAAGAAACGCCTCATCTCAACACTTGTTTCCTTAGAAAAATGGAGAATATACTCTGCATACTCGTTGCATAATTGAGATGGAACAGTACATTCTCAGCAACTACCAGGATGTGGCAAGGAAATGTAACATCTGTCACAGCCTCGCCATCCAGGTAACATGTTTTATCACCTCAGCCAATGGACTTGCATGGACATAGCTGAGGTTTGTGATGCTTTCCCTTGGGTATAATCTTGGTCTTGTAATCTGGTCATGGTGGTCATACATTTTGTAATTTTTTTTTTTTTCATTTTAGGCATTTTATCTTCTGTCTTTAGAAATAAAATTGTCTTGTAGTAGTATCTCCAAGTATAAAATTGGAAAAGTGCACTCCTGCAATGAGGAACATGGTTGTGCTGTCTGGCTTTCCAAACCAGCATGTTAGAGATGAACTTCTGATGCTGAAAGAGGTTTAGCAGTGAGGTGTTACCAGTGTCCTCCTCGGGCCTTGCCAATAGACGTCAATAGTGTGACACATTCTTTTTTGGTCCTGGGATTTTAGTTCAGGAATTGCTTGTGTTTGGACCTCAGAAGGAACATGTGTGCTATGTAGACCATGCTAAAGCACCGTGTTTTGATAGCTGGGATGTTAGCAGTTCCATCTTGCTTAAGTAGTTACAGCCTGGATTCGTATTCCAAAACTGCTACATTTTCTTGCTGTGTGAGCCTGCATCTTCTGATCTGCCCAACTAACATGCTTCCATGTTACTTTTTCCCACCCTGATTAGTCTCCTTTATTGCACTGAAATGGTTGTCTTTCAAGCTAAATTTTGTCCATATAGGGAAATAGTATTTCCTAGTTTACAGAAAAAGATCTGCTTTAGCCAATTTACCAGCTTTGACTGTTGAGTGTGTCTACCACCCGTATTGTGGGAACCATTCTTTGGAACAAAGTGTTACGTATCTGCTGCACTTCATAACCACTTTCTCTTAAATTGAAAGACCGTTTAGAATGATTTTATGAATCAACACTCCTGATTTCAGAGCCAAGGATGTGAATCCTGTGGAATTGGAATGCACTTACCTTGTGTCAGAAAGTACTTCAGAGGCCAGACTGAACCCCGCTGTCCCGAGTGTAATGAATTCTGGTCTTGTGATACCCCAGGTACTAAGCAAGGTATTTTAAAAAAATTGAATGTAATAACACTAGGAAATGGGCTGTGATATTCAGTGGCTTTGCCTGTAGTATTTATAATTGTGGGTATCAGCTATTTCTGACTTCAGTGCTATGTTTCAGACACTAAACCACACACAGGCAGTACTGAGCCCCCACAGTACCCAAAGAGTGCCACAGGGGCATTAGCAGACCCTGTGCATATTTTTTTTAACTATCTTTAGGAGGTGGGGGAGGAGGGAAAGAATAGAGGCACACACAACCCATGATGCTAAAGCTTCTGGAAATACCCAGCTTCCTAGAATCTCTATGGAATTCCTCCATTTGTCCAGGGAAATTGGACATTGTGAACAGCAACAGAAGAATATACAAAGCATTTTAGAAAAGGTGGCTATACAATATTATCTTTTCTCTTTGTGTTGTCCATTAATCTTCCTTTAGTTTTCTTTACAGGTGTGAGTCGGATGGGCTCCCAGACTTAACACAGAGCTCCACTCTTGGTCCTAGATGATGCCAGTAAAACTTGATATCAGAGACATCTGTTTGCCCCCACTCTGGCAGAACAGCCAGACTGTATTGTATTCATTAGTAAGAGTACTCAGTGTACTCATTTTCTACAGTTCTAAGAATCTTACAATAAAATGATCATTGATGTTCCTGTTCACAGTAATGCCTGCACAGCTTTCTTGGAGGCTGTTTTCTGTTATTAATTCTCCATATTCTTGGGTTGGCACTCTCAGTGCATGTTTGGGGATGAAAGATGCAAGTGTTGCAGTCAGTCCTGCAATTTGATATATGCAACTGAACTCTTGAAAGAAGCCTTTCTCAGCAAAGGCTTCCTATTTGTACAGCAACAGTACAAATTCAGTTGGACAATGGAAATGACACTTGCTGTAGCATGTCAAGCAGGTGAAAAATCAGTGCAGTGTGTGCAAGGCAGCTGGCTCAGTCTCTGACCTAGGGCTGGAGTTGGAACACTTCTACTTAGCATTGTGGTTGAGTTTTGTCCCTTCTTTAGATGCAGAAGAATTTGTCTTGACGTAAGGCCATTGATAAGCAGCTGTGCTCTGTAAGGAGAGAATATTGCCACAGAAGGATTGGGAAGCAGTAGGACAGGGCTTGGGGCAATGTTAGCTTATGTTTGCAAACTGCTGAAAACATTACCATACTGAGACTCTTTAGGTTTTTAGTTGTGGCACTTCTGTCTCCAGTTTTAAGTAAGGATGCTTTTTTCTTTAAGAGTGACTTGGAAAGGAGGCAAGGACTGGCTATTGCCAAACACCAGACTAAAATGGCAGCATTTTTGTCCTTGGTAGAGATGTGTGACACAGCAGAAGAGCTGTGGCAGATGAGGGTTAATCAATAATTAAACTTCAGGTTATCTAATTGCAATTAAACTGTGGATTAACTTCAGTTATGTTCTAGGCTTTAACATGATGTTGTGGTTTAGAAATGGTACTTCCCAAATTAGCGTTCCCACTAAAGTGCTCCAAACCACGAGATACTTGCTCATTTCCTCCTCCCCCTACCTCTCCCCTCATGGACATGAGAACTGGAAGGTCCAAAAGAAAAAGAGCATGTGTTGCAATAAGAACAATTTACTGGAAACAGCAATGGAATAAGGAAATGAGCAGTAATAGCACCAATATCAATAACAGTGTACGAGAGACAAAACATTCACACAAAAAGATTCACAAGATTCAGTCACTAAGAGACCAAGGAGCTCCTTCCTGCCCCAAGCCTGCAGCAGTGGCAGGCTGAGGTGGTACAAAATAACCTCTGGGTCTGTGCTATGCCCCTCCTGGCTACTGCAAAAATGAACCCTATCCTGGCCAGAACCAGGACATGAGTAACTTTTTCCATGCAGGAGACTAGTACCTTGCTTGGTGTTAGCTTAATTTTTTAATGGATTGAACCTTCAGGTAGCACCATCTCTCTAGCTAACTCCAGGGTTTAGTGTTACTAAATCCAAGTAGAAGATAACACTGACCTGGTTATTCAGACAGAGACTTAGGCATGCCTGAGTCCTGGCAGTGCCTGTACAGAGGCTGTTTCTGATGGATGCACACACAGAACAATGACCAAACATAGGGTCTTTAGGAGTTATTAGAAACATACACAAAAACGAAGTGACTACAATATCATCTTTCCACCTACCCCTTGTGACTACTTCTCCATGCTTTAGCAAGAGTTTGTTGGGTTTTGGTTTTGCTTCATCTCAAACCTCTCCTGAGAGAGAGATGCTACTTCCCTGATTTTAAATTTCATTTCAGTGCTGCTGACTACATTTCAGAACTATGACCACCAGAAACTAACAGAGAAGCTGAGCTCAAGCGATCGCACGTAGTGCCAATATTTAATTGGAATAAACAGAATCTGTCCAGGCATCAGAATGCAGGACTGAAATGCAGCCTTTGTGAAATTTGGAAACTTGACCAAGTCTGGATCTTCCACATCAACCTATAAAAAACCAAACAATCATAGAAGAATGTCTTCACTCAAATATTATTTGATACATTAATGATATTAAAATTTCAGGCAACCATTTACCTGACTAGTGTTGTGAAGAATTTGGCTTTCATGGGGGTACAGGTTTTCTGAATCTTGTGGTGAATAGAGACGGATATACTTTCTTCCAAATACCTGTATATAATAAAATAAATGTTTTCCATTGGTCATTAACTGGCACATTACTGGAAGCTGTGGGCTATAGCTGGCATTTAACGGTAAAATATACCTGATTACAAGGAACATAATTATTGTTAGTAATAGACACCGCTATAATAAAAAGTTAAATCAGGCTACTGGAATTCAAGTACCTCTTCCCTTGGAGCAGATAATAATTTGAAATACCAATGGGAAGGAAATGCCTTTAACCAGATTGCTTTCAATTCAAAGTTCAAGGCGCCCAATTTATACATCATTATTTGGGCTTTACGTAGCTAGAAATAATAACTGAGAATAAGGAAGCTGAACCTTCATTGCTATTCACATCAACAGGTACTTGCACAGTGACTATTAAGCTTCCATATACCCCTCAAACTCTTATTTCTGTGTCATCATTAAACCAGTTCTTTCACCGGAGTGCTGAAATGTGATGAGAATTTGTAAGGTGAGTGGCTTGGCTTCTCTGAATGCTACACGAACTCCAAAGTTTTGGTGTCAAGATGTGGCAGCACGAACGAGTCAAAGCTGAGTCCTCCACTGATATCAGTGGAACAGAAGGTTTAGGGTGAAGATTCATACTGCTTGTGCCAGCAGTCCAGATCACCACAAGACCCAGGCATGATTATACTTGTTGGGAACTGTCCTGTTATGGGTATTATGACTAATCCCAGCAGCCTTGAGTGGCTACCCAACCACTCCTAACCAATTTGCTTTTCCTCTATGTTAACATCCCTTCCCACATAACAGAACAGGATTTCCTGAAATCTTACCAACACCAAAGCTGTCATACTGGCTATTTAGAGTTTGTTGCTTTCAAGGATATCACATAAATGTATTCTACAGACTGAACAAGTACCAAGTACTCCTGCCCTGTCATGCTCTTCACTGTCACTGATTAAACTACTTGATCTATATAACTCTGTCCACGTGTTTTTAGGATGTCTTCCATACCCCAAAGGGATTAAGGATATTAATTAGCTCACTAAAGAATCAAGTATTACATGGTATTTTTGGTGACACATGGAAGTGACAAAAATGCTGGTTATTGCTCCAACAGCATATTCTCTGAATGCTTGTTTTTTTGGTTTTTTTTTTTTTTTTTTTGGGACTGCCATCAGCTGTTAACACCTCCTTCCTTCACTTGCCTCACTGGATTAAGACCTTGTATATTATAAAATGGCAGGCACCAATTAATGGGCAATAGCCTGCATCTCCAGAGACTGCTTTTCTCATTAATGGAAAAACTATGATCTCAGCACCAGCCAGGATAATTTCATTTTGTTACCTGCACTTGTGCCTCTCCGTACTCCAGAGCCACATTTCAAATGGCATCACAAAGTGTGGTAATCACATATCCTCTGAACAGAGAGAGACACAGCTCTCCCAGGATTTTCCTGGGAAGCTGTGAGAAGCTGTGAGAAAGCCCAGAGAAATAATTAAAACAATTATTATCTCAATCTCTGCACCTGGCAGGCAATCTCTGTTTGTCAAAGATCTTTACAATTAGGAGTTGCCCCTTCTTGACCAACAGGTGAGAGAAGATTCTTAAAGGCCAATCAGGTCTTCGGTCCACCATTGTTTCTGTAAGAACTGTGGATTTCTAATAATAAAGTGCTTTTTCATGCCTTCTGATGATGGATTCTCTGTATCACCTTTGTCTGTCCCAGATACCCCTTCAGTGACAACAAAGTAGGGCAATTTCAATTGAAAGCTGCCAGATTACAAAGACTCTTTCACAACACTGGCAGATAATCTTCCATTTTTTCAGGCAGAAGAAAACAAGTTCTGAGGTTTGTAAGGGAAGTATATTTTCCCAGTCCAACAGCTCCTATAAATTCTTCTTCCACCAAGAAAAAATCCCCTCAAGCTTTACATAGCATGAATAGTACAGTACTTTCAGAATGCAGCGGTATGTGTGTGCTGAGCAGGTAACACACAAAAGAAATACAATCCATACAAAGTTGCACTGCAGTTGTAAAAAACCATTCTAGGAAGGCATGAATTAAGCCTCAGTTTCAAGTGAAAACATAGGTTAGCAAGATACAAATGGGACAGAGAAGCTAAGGCTCAACCCATAAAAAACCATCAGTAGAAAGTAATATCACAATTTTTTTATTTTTAAGAGTCTGATGGGAGAGCAATCTCCTTCAGTAAACAAAATAAGCTCCGAGTGTCCAAAGATTCACAGTGGTCAACTGCTTGGATCCAGAAGAATCCCTATGACCTGTTCAGTGCTTACCACAAAAGGCCCCAATATTTTATTGGGTTATTCTGCACTAAAAGTCATCATCAAAAAGCCTACCAAGAGGAACTCAGCAGAAATGATGTCAAAGTACAAGTTTTAATTCCTATCTCACTGCATGCATGAACATTTCACTGGGTAACCTGAAACATGTATGCACCCAAGTCTACCTCAAAACCTTGCTTTCCAGATGTGCTGGCTTTGGCTGGGGTAGAACTAGTTTTCTTCCCAGTGGCTGGTATAGGACTGTGTTTTGGATTTGCACTGAACATAGGGTTGATAATATAGAAATGTTTTTGTTATTGCTGAACAGGGTTTACACAGACCTGAAGCTTTTCTGCTTATCATACAGCCATGTTGGCAAGGAAGTTGGGGGTGCCTGGGAAACTGGGAGAAGACACAACCAGGACAGGTGACCCGAACTGACTGACCAAAGGATATTCCAGACTACATGACATCATGCTCAGTATATGGGGGAAGAAGAAGAAGAAGAAGAAGAAGAAGAAGAAGAAGAAGAAGAAGAAGAAGAAGAAGAAGAAGAAGAAGAAAGGGGGGATGTTTGCAAGTGACAGTGTTAGTCCTCCCCATTAATTGTTAAGCGTGATGGGCTCTGCTCTCCTGGGAATGACTGAACACCTGCCTGCACATAGGAAGCAGTCAAGTAATTCTTCGTTTTGCTTTGCCTACATGCACAGTTTTTGCTTATTAAACCTCAATCCACAAGTTTTCTAGCTTTTACTCTTCCCATTCTCTCTCTCATCCTGCTGGTTGAGGGATGAGAAAGTGGCTGCATGAGGCCTGGGGATTGTGTGAGCTCAAACCACAACACTGGAAAAAGAAACTCCTTAGTACAATATGACAGGATCCAGATTCTTCCCAACTGTGTTACAAATTCCATGTGACCTTAGAAAAGCTGCTTCTTGTGATTTCTATCTATCATCTGTAAAACAAGGGTAAGTAATGGTCTCTCAATGAGCAACACTTGTGGTCTGTAAGATTACATTCAGCATGAAGTTGCAGTAATGACAAATGCAATAAAGAAACAAAATAGTACCTGCATGTTCTCTTTCCTTTGATTGTTCAAGTTATCTACTCCCCTTGTCTCTAACACACACCATAAACATTTTCTCTAAGTATTGCATTAATGGCATGTGTAGAGTAACTAGAGTACATACCTGGGCTAACAAATTTTGCTGGGGATCCTGATGAAGAGGTGAGATTGTGCCTCCTGGACCAAACCAGGCATTAATGGTGATGTCATCTTCTTCCCCTTCCCCCAGGCAGCAGTAGTCAGGGATACTGATATCTTCTTTCAGTTCTGGAATCTATTTCCACAAAGAAAGAAACATTAAAAAGGATATGTGCTGACTTGTCAAAATATGTAATTCATAGAACAGATGAGCAAGGCTGGATGCAAAGAAAACAAATGACTGGCTGGTCCAGCAAGAGTAGGAGAAAAGTAGCTGACCTGCTATGAATCTGCAGGAAATGTTCTCAAACTTTCTGTTCTAGTGAGCAGACTCTGTTGGAAGGAGAAGCGGGAGAAAGAAAAGGGTTTCCCCATTCTTCAGAGACCCTTTGCTTTTGCAGAAATCAGAGGCACCCACAAGAATGTTTGCTCTTCATGGAAAAGGAGCAGCTGATCTCTTCTATACTATGCTTGCTTCTCTGCGAAATTCTTTTTTATGTCTCCCACCAACATAAGCTCTGGTAAACTGGAATGACATTTCAGACTACGATAAACATATCAATGTTGAAAATTTTCCTGTCCAAATCTCTTCCCTGACTTACAAAAGGGGCTTTCCAGGCAATATCCCCCTAAGTATATGCTAGATTGTACTGAAACAGCACTAGGATTGAATGTCTTCATCCCAAAAGGGTTTTGTTTCGATGTCTTGTAGCCAAACAGAACAAACTTCTCCCTCTGCTCCTTCAAATAATGGGAATAGAAACTTAAGAATTACTATGAATTCTCCAAGTGTCCTTCAATCTAGTACAGTCAACATCTTGAGAGACAACTTGTGCTACAAAAGGAAGACATGACTGTAGGAAGATTAAAACATTCACTCAGTTTTACCTGATCAAAAAGCTGGTGCTGGGCAAGGTATCCTACATTGTTCTGAAATGACAGCAGAGAAAGAAAAATCACAGTAACATACAGGTAAGACAGTGGGTTAATTTATTTGGAGGTGAATAGAATTTACTTACAGTAAATTCCAGTGTCCTGTTCAGAGTACTATATATAACTATTTCAACAGTATAAGGTGTCTTCAGATATAGCAACTTACACCTCCATTGAAATTGTGAGAGTGTAGGTGTGTCTCTACAATGAATAAATTATCCAGCTTGAGTTACTGAAGGAAGCTGGGACTCCCTGTGGAGTCTTGACAGCTGACAGTACGCTGCATCTTTCTAGCCAGACCCTGCTGGCACACAGACCAGTTCTCCTACTTCCATACTCTATTCTGGGGTGCACCACAGAGCAATTTGCTATGGCACATAGTCCTTCCTGCCAGAAGGCCAGGAAACAGAAACTGGGGCTTGGAATCCTCACCTGTGAAAGTAAAAGGACATTCCAGACTTTGCTAATCAACTTTGTATTTTTCTGCCTCATGGCTTGTAAATCCTAAATCTCGCTAAGCAGCTTAATGAGAAAGAGGAACAACACTACTGGCTGAGGATCCCTTATTCTTAGATTCCACCAGTCAGGTTTGTGCTACGTATGTATGTGTGTATATATTAATCAAATTCCAGCTACTGTACATTTAATTATAGGTAAAATTCAAACCTGTCGTTGCTATAATTATTCCCAGCTTCAGGTCTTAAAAATATGTCAAACCTTTTAATTCAGAGCTGTGCTTACAGCACACCCCCTCTCTTGATATGAGCTCTGAGTAGGTTTGTTGAAAGCAGAACTTGTCTGTACCAGTACCACGGTGCTGTGTTTGGAAATAAAACAAACGAGTGTAACAGACCTCATCCATGATATACTGGCTGATGAAGTCACTGACAGTCATGAGCTGCTGAGACCATTCCTCGTCTGTGTACCGAGCACCCAACTCCACGGGGACTGTGCGGCACCCTGCGACTTGACAGAAATAGTCCACACTGAAATAAAGAAAGTTCCATTACCTTCTATACTGCTCTTACTAATTTTGAATGTAAAGCAATCAATCCAAATCAATCTTGTTGGGTAATAAAATTCTACTACCCTGAGTTTCTACTGTCTAAACCAAACCAACCAGAAGAAAAAGGCAGAATAAAAGAATGCAAGCAACAAGGAAATCAGCAGGCAGGTTTGTGTGTACATGACCCCACAACTGTCTGTTTTGTTTTGGTTTAAAAGCCTATTTGCCTCAGTTGTTTCCTTCCAAACGAAGAAGATTTAAGCTGTTACTGTCTCTTGGGAAGGGATGGCCAATCTTTTTCTGCCTGCTGCCACATTTGATAAAATCTTGTATCTTTTACTCAGTAATATTAGATCAACTCTCTGTCAGTGTCTATACAGGTGCCAATAATACCAATTCCAATTGTAGCCAGAGGGATGAGTTTGATGGGTGAAATACATCTCTCCATGGACAACGGTATTAATTAAACTGAGAAGTTATCTTGTTAAGTGTCTAATCTTAACCAGTGCAGTACCTTCCCTCAAAAATGAATAAAATCTCTATGACATAACAAGTGTGTGCACTTAATTTTATCTTTGGTTGTTGAACTAAAGCAATTACTCAAACTAAGCATGAGTGATTTTTCCCCTTTTTTGGGGAATCATGACCTTCACCTCAAAAATACTTGATGCTCAGTGTTGGAAATGTGGGCACCATTGCGTGCATTAACCAGGCAGCACAATGCTGTTACTCAGTCCTGCACAGTGGTGTCTGAAACTCAACACTCAAACACAACACTGGACAAACACAGTGCTTGGACTTATGAATGAAAAAGTCAACCATGCTTACTCTTGGCTCTGAAATTCACTTTCCATTGCAGTAATTATCGGCAAGCTGCAAGGGGTAAAAACCACTGATGTGTGTCCTTGACACATCCACTGAGCTGTGAGCAGCAATGTGCACTTCTCGTGAGTTCCCAGGTGTTGCCATTGGGATCCTGGGACAGCTGAAGGCTGGGACTGTCGGAATCTGTGGGTATTGATGATTCCGAGATTGTAGAAAGTCTCTGTCTTTCTGCCCCGTTGCCAAAGAAGAAGCCATAATTCATCTGTGCTGTTTTCAAGGTTGTTTATTCTTGCTTATCTATAACATGTCCTGCTGCCCTGCTGCAGGTCTGTCCAGCAGGGCAGCGTGCAGGGCTCTGCCCCCAGTGGGATGTTACAAACATTAAATACCAGAAACTACCTGTGCTGTATTTACAATAATGTGCCAATATCTATCATCTACGTTAAACAGCGTGTCCCCAGCCTAAACCAACAGAAAAATGCCAACACCACAGTGAAACATGGAGGGCATGAAGAAGGAGGAAAAGGACAAGACACACCCAATTCCTCCATCTTGTCCCCTCTGAACCCCTAATCTAGAAACCTAAAATTTTACTTTTGCGCCCCGTGCCACACTTAATTATTACTCTTATCAAACACTCAGAGCTTGTAATTCATCCTGTAAGATTGAAAACTCCTCTCCATGGACAGAGATCACAGACAGTGTCTCTCGGGGCTCTGTCCAGGGGGGTTCCTGACCCCTGCCAGGGCAGCCAGAGGGAAGCCCTGGATTCCCACATAGGACAGCAGAAGGTGGCCTTCACCCACGAAGAGTCAGAGGCCGGTCAAAGAGTCACCTCGGCCCCCAGACAGTCCTGCCCTGAACGCTATGAAGACCTTCCCTCATCTATGAAGCAACTTCCACAGAGCAGTAGGACAGTGCTGCTAGCAAAATGCACTGCTCACGGTATCCTTCGCCTGTGGAGGCCTGCTGCTCTGTCGAGCATCAAGATACCCAACACAGGGAATGATCGCGCCTTAACTTGGACAGGGAAGAAATTTACTTCTCACCTCCACTTCTTCATACAGGGCCAGTGGTCCATGATGCCCTCCAGGACCACAGGCCGCTGGGGAAGGAGGTAGTTGTCTCTGAAGTGCTGGAGCGAAGGGCAGCGGAGGCGCGGAACGGGCGGCTCCGGCCGCAGGGCGGGCGGCGCCGGCCGGGGGCTCGGGAGCGGCCGCTGCCCCTCAGCGGCGCCCGCGCGGGGGCGCGCGAGGCCGCCCGGGGCGCGCGGGGGCGCGCGGGGCAGGTGCGGCTGCAGCGCGCGCACCAGGCGCGCCAGGACGTTGTCCAGGATGGCGGCGCCCATCAGCAGCCCCAGGTCGCAGAGCCGCACGGCGCGCGCCAGCGGCCGGCCCGCGGCCACCTCGGCCAGCGCCCCGAAGAGGCAGCCGTAGGCGTAGACCTGGCGCCAGCCCTTGCCGACCTCCCTCCATGGCCCCGCGTTCAGCTTCTCCCAAGAGTAGTCACGCAGGACGTCGCCGAGACGCTCCAGCGCCGCTGCCGCTGCCGTCCCGGGCCGGCCTGCCGCACCGTAGAGCAGCGCGCGGGCCCGCCGCAGCAGCGGCAGGACGCAGTCCTCCACCTCGCCGCTCAGCGCCAAGGTCAGCCCGTCCTCGGCGCGGGGCAGCAGCGCCCGCACCTCGGCCCACAGCGCCAGGCTGTCGCTCGCGCCCTCCCCGCTGCCGGCCGCCGCCATGGCCGCGCCTGCGCTGACGACCGCGAGGCGGCGCTCTCGGGCCGGCGGGGCTGAGGCGGGGCCGGGTGAGGGGGCCGCGGGGGCCGCGGGGGCCGCGGCGCCGGGAGCGGGGCGGTGCCCGGAGGAGCCGGGAGCCGAGCTTCGGTCGCACCGGCGAAGCTCGGATTTGTCGTTCTTACCTGTGACTTGACCAGCGAGTCAACTGGAATTGCGTGACTGTGATGGGCGCTGCTTTTGCAGGAAAGGGGAGCCCGTAGACGCGGTGAAGGCCACGCTCTCTTCTCCGGCCGTTCGCCGAGCGCCGGCGTGAGGAGGCGTCTGCCTGCGCTGGGGACAGCGGAGCGCAGGCGGTGAGTGCTGAGGGAAAGGGAGGTGCGCTCTTCCCAGCCGACCTTTTGTGCTGCAAAGAAACGTCTCTGCCCGGCGCGGCCCTGAGCCCGTGTCCTCCCGCTGGCTCAGCTGCCTGGTGTTCATCTGCTCACAGGAGCGCTTTCTTCATGGGATATGCGCGAAACTCTTTTTTCTTTCTAACGCGCTGGACACGGCATCACTGAGCCCCAGCTTGCTTTGATAATGTGCCGTGAACCTTCTCAGGACTTAATACTTGACTACAAAGGCAAAATAATATTTTACTTAAAATTCAGCAACTGAGGAATGTTTTAACATGGTGAACCAAACTAAACCACCATAAGAAGAAATGAGGAATTTTTAGTTCCTAGTTAGGGTGGAAATCTTCGGATTTGAGACAAATCCTAATTTACAGAAAAAGTTAAAATCCTTATTTTCTGTATTCAGATACTTGCTCTTCTTTGTTCCATGCTCAGTCACTAGTGCTTTCCAAAAAGGAAAAAAAAGTTGATCTGAATCCTTCTGTTGCTGCTGGTGGTGGCTCTCCCCTGGCCCCCTAGCTGTCTCCTCGAAATGATCACTTCTCTCACACTTCTCACACTTCAGGTTTGTGCATTGCTTATCATGCTGGCCTGTCTGTTGCCTGTCTTCTGACTGCCTTTCTCTTGGCATCTTAAATTCCTTCTGTGACAGTGTGATTTTAGCACCTTCATTCAGTATTTTCTCCTTAACTGCTAAATGTTAATATATGCTACTGTAGGAGAAAGTATTTGAGTGACAAGGAGATTTTCTTGTTAGACCCTGTGTTCATTATTTGCAATTTAGGATGCTAGCAAGTGTTGTTAGTCTTGTGTCTGTGGGCTGCTCACTTTTTATAACCATTTACATTGACATTTATTTGCATTTAGTTAACTAAATAGATTTTGCAGTTTAAATATGAATAATATTTTCATGAGTTTCATTTTGAAGATTATGATTTTTTTCTGGAATTTCAAACAACACCAAGGTCTGAACAAGTAATCTCCAGCACAGCAGTGAGGCATTGAGGCCATGATGAGCTTTATCAGTTTCACTTCAGGTGATTTTAGTTTTTGAGTATTCAGGGAGGCTCAGTGTTCCTCTGTGAGCATACATTGGAAGACAATTATTTCTAGTCAGTTTTGGTGCAATAGTTTGAATTCTGAAACAGCATCAATGGCCTTGAATCACAGAATCAACTAGGTTGGAAAAGACCTTTGAGATCATCAAGTCAAAGCTGAGACCTAACAACACCTTGTCACCTGGACCACTTCCAGTCTTCTTAAACACCTCCAGGGCAGAATATGTATTCCTGATTCTTCTATCATTTTCTTATTCAAGTGCCATAGTGTCAAGTGTCAACTGCTGATTGGCAGCCTGAAGGTCTGAGGCACAGAGACAGCTGGCTTGTAGTCAGCCTGTTTGGAACACTGCTGCAGGTAGAAAGATTTCCTGACAGGAGTGTGGAAGGAAGTGATAATCCTTGAGGGCACCAATTGTTGCAAAGCAAAACCAGACCACAAAGTCCCTACAAAGGACAAAACTATTTTCTGTTAGCTGTATATATCTGCTGCATTTTCCATTTGTTGTATTGACTGTGCCATTATCCTACCAAAATAATCTAGGACACCACTAATGACTTCAGTTTAACACATCCCAAATACCCATTTGGCAGAGCCATGCTCTCACATCCTGGCTTTCCAAAAGGGGAGAAGGAAGAGAGGCAAACGAGCAACTCTATTTTCAAAGGGCATCTCAACCACGAGCCTATGGAATTGTGAGGGGGTAACAAAACTGCTGAACATATGTGGAATTTGGCTTTAAGAAATCACTTTATAGCACGGTCCCTTGGTTAACATTTACTGCAGGTAAGCAGCAGGCAAAAAATTGCCCTCAGTTGAACTGTTTGACTTCTATAGCTTAAGCTGGTTTGTATTTAGAGAGGTGATTCTAGACTTGCATTATTGTAGGTGTGCCTCACTGCAGAGAAAATAAACACCAGTTCTACTGAAAATAAAGTAAGTACCCTCATGTCTTTGTGTGAGCAGAACCTGAATTTTAGGTTTCATCAAGACTATACCAACCTCCCATACTGTCAACATTTCCAAGAAAAATGTGTCAGCTCACAAGTCGACAGTGACAGTCTCACTAACTCCTGCACATCTGAGCTGTCTCCTTTGTATTAGCTATGCAAATTTAAGTCTCTGGAGAATCATGCTCTAATTTGGGGTTTGGTTTGTATTTGTTTGTATCGGGCACTTTATTCTTCCCTGCAATTTTCACAACCACAGTGTTGTACAGAAGGAAATTAAAAGCGCATATTCTTTTTTATTTTTTAAAACTTTATTAAATTACGCAGTAAGAACCCATCTCCACACAAGTGTTTCATTTCTGGATGGCAGAGGTATAATACATGAGCCACAGGTGAGTGCATTACCCCTCCCTTCCCCCCAGCTTCCAAGAAACAAAACAGCAGGTACAACACACTCCTGTCACTACACTTCTCCAACAGATTGTTCATAAGGTTATTTTTAACTGGAGAAAAATGAAAAGGACCAACAGTGTCAAGTGTCCTGTTCTGCATATGAATGTTCTTCACTGCAGCATTCCAACAGCTTCTCCTGGGCGTTGGTGGCAGAGGGTCAGGGAGCAGTGGCAGTGGAATGCGTTTGCACGGCTACTGTTAGATGCAAAGCCTGTGACTTGCCTAGAGGTAATCAGGCAATCAGAGTGCAAGGAAGGCCATATGACTGTTGAAAACTGTTACACTTCAAAGTGCATGTCCACAAAAAGTTGGCAACAGAGGAGAAAGTGAATTCTAAGACCTACTGCGGAGGCAGAGCAGTCAGCATAGTGCAAATACTGAAAGGAACAGAAGTTTGCTGGCATTATCCAAAAATCACCAGCCAAGCTTCCTACTCAGATGAACTGCTGCAAACCCTTTCAATTAAATTAATTTTATGCCAGTAGTGGGCTTGGCTCAAATCTTTTAATACTTGGATTTTGACTGAAAAAATCCTGTATTGAAAGTGTGGTTTTACTCTGAAAAGTGACTAAAATGGCATAAAGGATCTTCCCACATTTTTCAGCAGCTGTGCATAATGAATTCACCAAGTTTACAAAAGAGAAACTTTTTATATAGATCTACAACAAATTTATCTGGGTTCAGAATGCCAGAGTGCATTTCTGCTTTAGCTATCAGCACCTTTACAGTTCTGCAGTTGTAGCTGAATTCTGTGGGGTTTGTTTGCTCTAAGAAAAGGAAGTTGCCTTTTCCTAAAGGTGTCCTACTTAAAAAATGAAGCAAGAAGTCTTTTAGACAAGCAGGACCTGGATCCAAGGAAGATGATGCCATTTTTAGAGAGACTTTTCTGACCATAATCACACTTTGAGAACTGATTAAAAAACCTCGGTGGAAGATTCCCTACAGATGCATTACTGAACAATCATCTATAGAAGAAATATGGCAAAGGAAAACTACTTTGCAGAAATCTTTACAGATCTAGTTGAACAAAAATTTGAGAGTCCTTCATTTCTTGGATTATATGTATACCTCTGTGAAGTGAAGCACCAGAATTTACAAGTGTGAACTAAAAGGATTAGGAAAATGAAGTAAAAAGCATATCACTCTACCTCCACCAGAACATCACTTTATTGTTTATCTGTCATCAACAATGTAAAACTCTACTAGATACTCTATCCTGGTTTTTAAAAAGGTAAAGATTACATTGGATTAGCTACTTTGTACGAAAGAAAGAAAGAACAGCAATCACAGTAGAATGAGATTGGAGGGACAATTTGAATTACAAAAAGTGTACACTGCAAGCAGAGGGAAGTGCACATTAAATCAAATGCCTGTAGGAATCATTACTTTTAAATGCACAGTGACAATTTTGAGAAACTGTACATAATAGAATCACAAAAATTACTTTAAAATAACCAAAATTACATTTTGCATTTGACTATCCAACTCATAAGTAATCATTGATGTTCTATATTTTCAGTGCTTTTGGAGAAATTGTTTACCGAACAGAATTTAAGTTGTTAATTTGACTAAACTGTGAAGCAGAAGGATTGAAATAAAAAGTATATTGGAAGTACGCCTAACCTACAAGAATAAGCCAAGAGGGGTGTATGCAAGGAGAGGCTGGGAGGGAGGAGTGAAAGGAAAGAAGAAAGGGAGAAGAGAACAAAGGCTTTTTCTTCTATCTCAGAAGTTCTTCCAATGCAGCGTGTATCTGATGTACAGCTCTTTGCTTTCAGTCCATTTCTGAAGTTTACATTTTGTAGCCTTTTCCCATACTAACTGGTCAACTCAACCAGCACTGCTGCCACAGAACAAGAGGAACAAGGATCTGAATGCATCAAATCTGCCCTCGCTGTGATTTCTTCATGGCCCCATTTTTCTGTTTTTCTTTGAACAGGGTTCGGTGTTTCCTGAATTGTTCACAGGTCAGGTGGAATTGAGTTCCAAATCACTCTGCCGTTTGTAGCATCCTGATTTCTTTCTGCAGCTGACCCCCAGACACGTTTGCAGTTCTTCCGTAGCAGAAAGACAAACCGTGTTGCTCAAGCGGTGAGCTTTCACCCTTGACCGTGGGGGTTGCAGACCATTGTGTTTAGCGTATCCCTGAGTGCAGCTATCCTGCAGGATTCACTTCCCAGTGCACCGAGATTTCCTAGGTTTCCTCAGATTAAGCCCCAGTATGCATCACCACCGACTGTGGTGCGGCTACGGATGCCTGAGGCCGAGTTGATTCTGGTGGATGTCTGACCTCGCTGAACCAGACCAAGCTGCTGTCTCCCTACTCATACCCAGGCAGTCCAACCTTCATACAGCTGAGCCAAGTTATCTAGATTAGTTGCTTCCTTAATCACAAAGTCAACCTATTAAAAAGGCCAAACAAGGAATTAAAAATAAGCTAAAATTTTAAAAGTGTTTAAGTGATCTTAGAATTTACTGTCAAATGCCACCTGTGTTTCACTGAGAAAAATTTAAGTAACTGTAGACATAACTTTGTGCAGTCCACATAAGAAACAGGAAGCTGTACTAAAAAAAAACAACAACAAAAAAATCACATATCTCATTCACAGCCCCTCTCTTGGAAGTAGCCACACCATTCTCAAATAGACGTGGACAACTGTGTCCCCTGACTCCGTTGCCCAGAGACAGGAGTGGTTGTGTATGTTACTGAACACAGAAAAGTTCTGTCCCTTGGGCAGCTGTACAGATCTCGTGCTCTCCCTGGCTATCAGCAGCTGTGGAAAAAATGTTAGCTTACTGACAAGCAAAAGACAATTTTATCTGATTCATGGCTTTGCATAAACCTCCCGTATGAAAAACAAAAGCATATGACAGTTAAAAAAAAAAAAAAAGGCAGCAATACAAGGCAGTAGCAACCTTAATTTGCACTGCAATAACTCCCACCCCCAAAGGAACCCCCATTCACAACAGGATTTCAGCCCTGAAGGCACACTTCAGCACACACAACTGCTAATTAGCATGTATTCAAAGCAAGGACCAGTACTGGAATTTTATTTTCAACTCACCTGTTCAGCCACAGACATTCTCCTGTTGGGATCCACATCTCGGCCCTCTAACTTGGCTTTGACCCGCTTCCACACGCTAACTGCGTAGGAATTCCTCTCCTGCACAGCTACAGGTACAAAATAAAGTGAGTGCAACTTGACACTCCTGCACAGAAACCCACTGAGTATTTTTTTGTTGCTGTCAGTGGTAGGGTTGCTGGTTTTTTTAAGGTTTGTATTTACCTTTTCCTGTTTTAGGGTCCCTGGCTGTCTTTTTGGGACTACAAGCAACACTTTTGCCAGTTCCTGGGACTGTGTTTGGAGGAGTATCTGCTGATGTTGCAAGATTTTTCTGAATTAGCTTTCTTGCATTCTGTGACATCACCTCTGGCTGAGTCTTCTGCCCTGTATTGCTACGTACAGCTGTAAAGAAAGTTTAAAAGTGCTTAAAGTCTTCAAAATAATAGCATACAGAGGCAAGAAAAAGCACAATTAAATGTGTATCAAATAGACCTATCAGTTTTTCAGAACAAATGCATTTTAAATTTGCACTTTAAGTTCTGCACCAGTTTTCAATATTTCCATTTTCTAATTTCTTTAGTTTCATAAACAAAAATTTTTTTTCCACTGCTAAGAATTCATTTATATTAAGCAAATTGTCTGCACTTCAGAGTTCAGTAAGAGCTATGATTCCCTCTCTAATATCACTTCCTGGTGGTTTCATGTTTGTACTTTTACAAGTATTACCTGCAGCAAAGGTTGGCTGATATGTAGCAGCTGAAGTTGGGCTGGAGCATTCATTTGCTGTATCCGTGACTAAGGGTGATGCAAACCCCACCAGATTATTGTAGACACTGGGAAACATAATGGAGTTGATAAATACTCATGCAACTACTTGACTTACTGAAAATCCAAATATTAAATTAATTCAAATTTTGCAAGATTTCTGAGTGCTAAGAAAATCATCAAGTATGTGTTCATATCACCATGATGTGTTCCTGCTACATGAAAGCAGGTATGCAAAATGCCTTTTCTCACCTGAGACAAGGTAACTCTCTTACCTTTGGCTCTGTGTTTTAAGTTCTTTCAAGGTGGGAGTTATTTCCTGCAGCATTTCAACATGTTCCTGACTGCGGACTTGACCCATAACCTGAACTAATGTAAACAGAACTGTCTGGATATTATCTTGCCATGATTTATATTCACCCAGGAACTGCCTAACACTGTTCTCATAGGGAACATCTTCACCATCTGCCAAAGCCGCTTCTTCATCCTGTAACAAGATGTGCAAAAAGGTCAACTGCTATATTTTGGCTAAGAGAATAAAATGGAGATTTCTAAGCCCTTTCAGTCCTTCAGTCTGTCATTTGATTATAAATAACTATAATTTTCAGAAGTTATGTATGAAGAAATAAATTTTTAAATTATAAAATTTTTTACAGATTTAGAACAAAAATATTTATAAACACAATGTTTTAACTGCCAAGAGAGAGAAAAAGTTCAGTTCAACCAAAGCCTGCTAAGGCTAATGCTAGAAAGTTTTATGAATTCTTAAACATGAAGAATTGAACTTGTCTTGAACTCCATATGCACCAACATTTTACTGCACTTTACAAAGCACATAGCTACAACTGGTTTTTTTTCTTACACTGTACTGACATGGGCTCAAGGAATAAATTTAAGCATGTTTAGGCATACCTTTGCCATAGCTTTCAGTAGATGTTTGACATCTCCAAGCTGTCTGTTATGACCCGTGAGCACAGTTTTAATACTATCCACCAGATTCTGAATTGTTTCACAAACGATTTCTATTTGCTGTTCTCGTTCTGTTTGTAC